TTGCGAAGAACGGAGATGTGTGCATTTCCATCCTCCATGAGCCAGGAGAGGACAAATTTGGCTACGAGAAACCCGAGGAGCGTTGGCTGCCCATCCACACTGTAGAGACCATCATGATTAGTGTGATCTCCATGTTAGCCGATCCCAACGGTGACTCACCGGCCAATGTGGACGCAGCTGTAAGTTCAGTCAGTTCTCAAACACATTGTTTAATTGGAGTCATGAAATCAAATTGGACTTTTAGTTTACCCAAAAATGAAAATGTACACACTCTTTATTTTCCCTCAAGTGGTTCAAAACATTTATGAGTTTCTTTTTTCTGTCGAATACAAAGGACACCTATTTAAAGGGCACCTATGATGAAAATCAATGTTTGTAAGCTGTTTGGACAGAACTCCTCAATTATCTGATGGGTATTTTGAGCTAAAACTTTAAAGACACATTCTGGAGACATTAAAGCCTTATTTTACATCTTGTAAAATGGGTAAAATAGGTACCCTTTAAAAAAAATGTTAGAAACCAGTAACCATTGACTTCCATAGTAGGAAAAACTAATAGTTTTGAAATCAATGGTTATCCAGTTTTCTTTACTATATCTTATATTTTTGTTTAACTGAATAAAGAAACTCATTAAGGTTTGAAACGAGTGAGTTTTTGGGTTAACTATACTTTGATTGAATTATTGGGAAATTGGAGAATTTAACATTTGTGTTAGTGATTTACATGGCTGCATGAATTTGTGGAAACAGTATATATAAACTGCAATATTCCAAAAAATAAATTAAATTAGAGCCTTTCTAAGACAATGTTACTTTAATGCAAATTAATAATGTAGTAATTGTGTCCTGCCATTAATATAAATTGATCATGGATTTACTAAAGAAGAAGAAGCATTACCATTTTACTCCACATCCCCATTAAGTTGTTTTAGGTGCAAGAAAGTAATAATTTCTCCAACATTGAGTGAAAGGAAGCAATTGAGCTGGCTTACTGAAAATTAAAATTCATTGTACGCATACCTCATTTGTGCTCTGCTTCTGGAAACTATAAACGCTGCCTACTTTAATCTGATTGGTCAGTAGCCGTCTAAATCTTTTTGACATTGATGAACGCTGACAGACAAATGAGTCAAACCAGCTTAAATATTTTACTTTTAAATCTTTTTGACTTTGAACAGTGCACTGTTTAATCAAGTATAGCAGAATGGTGCAATTTAAAAAATGGGGGAGAAATTTGGTAATATTGGAGCCTTAATGCTATGGTGGTTATAGACCTTTTCAGAAAGTGAGAAGATCATCATCGATGGAATTTTTGATGAAATCAAGACCCACTTAGTATATTTCCCTACTCTTTCTCCAAATTGTCACCTGATTAAAAGGGTTATTTCACACAAAAATTACATTTAATTCTAATGAATTACTCAGACATGCTGTTACAAACCCCATAGACACTATTTTAGGCAAAATCTGAGAGCTCCCTTATCCTCCAGACACAGCAAGGTTTCTGACTCATTCAACATCTAAAAAAATACCGCAAAACATCCTTAAAACACATCACATTGCTTCAGTGGTTCAATCAGCACATCATGAAGCTACAAGGATACTTTTGTGCGCACATGAAACAAAGCAAATAACAACAGTACTTTTTTTAGTTTCTTCTCCTCAGTGTCAGTATAGTGAAATGAATAAAGTTATTTAAAAGCAAATGAATCCCAACTAATCTTTTGTCCAACTAAACCAATGACTGAAATTCTCCCATTTGTGTTTGGGTTTGCAGAAGGAATGGAGAGATGACCCTAATGGCGAGTTCAAGAGGAAAGTCGCCCGCTGCGTGAGGAAAAGCCAAGAGATGGCATTCGACTAGTGTTACATTTGTTACCGCATACACAATCAGTTCCCATCTCCATATCTTGAGGTCAAAGACAGATTTCAGTTTCAGGATTTATTTCTGTGTTCATTTGAAAACCCTTTACAAGTTCATATCAGTCTTACTGATGTTCGATCGCAGTGTGGCAATGATTGATCATGTAAAAATCCAATCCAAATTCTCACCAGCCCTTCTCTCCTAGATAAATCAAATGTCAGTAGGGCTTCACCTTTTTTTATTCACCGGTTCTTTGGAGTTGCACCAGAGCAAAGCCACCATAGGATTATTATCATTTGTTTTCTATCTGAATGCTTGAGTTCCAGCACGTTTTCTTTGATGTCGGTTTCTCCCCATCCTCTAGTGTGTCTGAATTATTTATTATCTTAATTATGATGAAATGTACTGCATGACTCGCTTTTTTTATCTGCCACTGAGCCATCGATTTTGAACCAAGTCTTTTATGCAATTCTGGCGTGTTTTCGTGCGTTTCTGGTACTAGTAGAGGCTGACGGTCAGAATCTCTGCCGATTTCCCTCATGTTCTCTTATTAAACAAAACAATATTACAGATGAGCCAATCAGAAGGCCATCTCTTTCTCTGCTGCCTTAAGTTGTTCTCCTATCTGAAAGGAAAATTGTATTCAGTGATGTCAAGTCCGTCTCGATGTCTGTTCAGTTTTTGAGCTGGAATCCTCTTTTTGGACAAACCAAAAAAAAACAAAGTTCGATATTTGCATGAGAGACAGAGAATATTTTTTGTATAAATGGTAAGCTCAGAAGCTGTATTTTTTGTGTATGTAAATATGATGTAATGTACCATAGCTCTATCGGTCGTTTGTTTTGTGACATTTTCCCCTTTCACACGTAGTTTTTGTAGCCTCATTTTTTTGAGTGTTCCGTTCACTCTTGTGTTTTTGAAAGCCCCATCATGTAATTTGCTCATTAAAATGTAGCATTTGTCTTAATGTTTGTCCCTTTGTTTTATTTCGCAGTCTTTGTCCTGTTGTTTCTGTCTTTTGTCAGTCATGAAACAGCATTTACCTCAGCGACTTCTAAAGGTGCATATAAGGTTCTTAGCAAAACATCTTTTAAGACAGTGCTTCTCAACCACGTCCCTGGAGGACCACCAGCTCTGCCCAATTTCAATGTCTCCATAGTCAAACAGACCTAATTCTGATCATTAGCAGAGACTGAAAGACCTGTAATGGGTGTGACGGACAAAGGAGACATCCAAAACATGCAGTGTTTGTGGACCTCCAGGAACATGGTTGAGAGACACTAGGTGCATCCCAAAACGCATACTTATGCTCTATTTTACGCCGTCTTGTAGTATAAAAACTATTGCGTTCACACTGAAAACTAAAAAAAAAAAAAAAAAAAAAAAAGAAGTGCACGTTACCAGGATGATGCTCTTATTTATCTGTTAAAGTGTGGAATGTTGGACACTTCATGCACTCAACAGCCGCCCCTATGCTCATGTAGCGGAAGGGGTGGAGCTTTCGGACACAGATGTTGGATTACTTTATTTTAGATTATGTATGCTAAATTCTCCTATGAGAGTGATTATAGCGCCTCCCGATGGTGTATGCAGTTATACTCCTGGCAGGTAATCTCGGGTAGTTTGGTCATTTATTTCCCTAATTTGGCAACTCAAACATCATCAGGGAAACATTTTTGAATTTTCACTTGTTAAAAAACCTATTAGTGTTCCATTTGGGACGACACTACATTGATATACAATGCTGTTGAGTGTGTTAGTGCATAGTGTGCCATTTGGGACGCAGCTAAAGTTCTAAGAGATGGTCTGATTGAGGTTTATTTGGTGTTTATTAATGCAAATGTAATTTTATTGTTGGAAAGAAAACAGCATATAAGCAATAAGCTGTACATATTCAATTGGTCAAAGCCATGTTTTAATTTGATTTAGTGGTGTATTTCTCCAGTTTGTATGGGATCCATGGCATATTAATTTGAGTGTCACAATGTGGAAGAATGTCATTTGTTATCTTTAGTAAGTTTGAATGAATAAAACCATTATTACGAACTTACTTTATACCAAACAGTGTGGTTATTGCAAATGTTTTACTAAATGGAATAAAGGGTAAATCTGTATTGTCAAACTGAAATTGCATTTGGGAACAGAGATAAAGTTCTCAAGGTGAATGCATACACTTTGGCTCTAGGGGGTTAAACAAAAAAAGAATCTGGAGTCAGATCTAAGTTTTGGTAGACATGTAAAGACAATCTAAATCATACTATAAAACATACTATCATCTCAAAAACATTGCAAGAATTAAATGCTTTGTTTCCAGTGAGGACCTGTTCATGCTTTTATCAGCAGCAGGATGGATTACTGTAATGGACTCCACACGGACTTTCCCAAAAAGACAGTCAGACAGTTGCAGCTCATCCTGACTGCTTCTGCCAAGTTTATGACCAGAACCAGAAAATCAGAGCACATCAGACCTGTCCTCAGGTCTTTACACTGGCTCCCAGTTACATTCAGAATAGATTTTATAGTATTATTGCTTGTCTATAAATCATTTAATGGGCCTAGGACCTCAGTACTCGGCTCACTGAATACAAACCAAACAGATCACTCAGATCTCTAGGATAAAATAAACTAGAAATTCCAAGGGTTCAGTCAAAGCAGGGTGAATCTGCCTTTAGCTGCTGAAATCAGCTTCCAGAAATGATCAGATGTGCTCCAACATTAGGCACGTTCTACTCAAGACTCAAAACACATCAGTTTAGCTGTGCCTTTACTGAATGAGCCCTGTGCTTCGTTCAACAGATCACACTATTGTGTCTTTCTTTTCTTTTTCTTTCGTTTGAGACTTTCAACACATTTTAATCTATTTTTATTCTTTGTTGTTTTTATTTTCTTATACCTGTTTCTTTTATTCCTGGTTATGTGAAGTACTTTATATTACCATTGTGTATGAAATGTGCTACATAAATAAATTTGTCTTGTATATCAGATGAGAAAATGTTGTCTTGGAAACCAACTGAAATAGAAACTCATAAAAGCTTTTTACATCTTTGACCCACATACTGTATGGCTACAATACTGAAAATATAATATTAAAAGCTAAATCAGAAAACTGATGTGTCTTTAGATGCTAATAATAATACTGTTTCTCTTCAATAGACTTTTATTTGATCATCTGCTGTTATACATGACAGAACAGAAATCAAATACACTTGATATAACCAGTACAAAATCTGAATAAGGGTAAACAGGTTTGCATAAACATTAAAGAAAACAGACAGACAAAAAAAATATCCATCCACATCCCGCACAGAGGTACCAACTGAGATCCTGAGTAGGTTCTTACTGGCCCGGTGCAGACAGACTTTTGTTCATGAACTGTTTCTTTACAAAACACACCCACCACTGTAGATAAAAAAAAGAAAGTGTTATTAAATAATCACTGTTTGTCAAAATGTTTTTGTGAATTTTGGTGTGAGTATTTTAGGGAACATATATTCTACAGTGTACAATGTAGTACAATTTAATAAAATGTTTTAATTTTATTTAAAATGTTTCCATATAATGCAAAACTTTCTTGAACAAACATACAGGTTGAACATTATTATAATGACTTTAGAAATGTGATTGAGAAAATAATAGCTGAATACACAATTAATTGAAAAAAGATTGCGATCTCGATTTGACCCGCTAGACGATCTTAATCCAACATTTCTATGTTTCTGCCAACTGCTGCTGTCATATTTTCAAGTTCAGAAAAGAAGCAAAGGCGGCTGCACGAGTCTTTTCATTGTTTCACATGGGTTGCTCAGCGACATGGACACCTCCAAATGATATTAAAAGAGTCACATACTGTACTTATAAGGTACAATTCACCTAAAAATGTCATTTTTGTCTTCATATAATACTGTATTTGCGGCCGGGAAATCACAAGTGACGTGAGCTGCTGACCGTGAGCTGTTACCTCATTGCTACTTAAATGATAGACGCGCGCACGTCTACTTTAGTGAACAGAACCTGCATAGGCTGTGAAAAACAGGTAATAAAGTTGTAAATAATATTCAGTTTGTGGCAGAGAGTTCGTTTGAGAGCAACACAAATATAAATGTTCAGAAGTTCTATTTTACAGTATAATCTGAAAAGAAAAATTGGTTTAATTGTCATTAAAAAAAACACTTGTAGACAAATGTTTTAACTATCATGAAAAGGAATGTGACCTTAAAAAGTAAAAAAAATGTGCCTTAAGCAATCTTTCCTTGATTTTTTTCCCTCGGTTCTTCTTGTTTGCATTACAGTAACTACTTTGAAGCACATTTTTCCTTCACTGTCATTTAAAAAAACGTCCCAATGCAAGAAAACAGCAAAAAATCCTTTAGTCTTGCCAGATAAATGAATTAATATTTAATTCAGGGTTTCTGCAGGTTTTACTGAGTTAACGTTATAACATTTTTAAGAACATTATGAGTAAAATGTTAGACTTATACAGAGCTAAATGCTAAAGACATTTTCCCCCGAATATCGCAGTTAGAAAAAACATTCACTTGCCCTAAAAAATTATTATAATTTAATACATTTAATAATAAAAATATAGGCCAGGTCAGTAACCTCAAAAGTAAATAAATGGAGAGCTTTTAAGCAAATATTACTGTAAGGAAAGTAATTAAATGCGATTTTTAAAATAAAAGTGAAACATTTTATTGATATGGATTGTTGGTCATTCAATATATGGTAATGGCCAGATTGGGTAACTATACATGACAAATTTAGTTAAAATTCAAAATATTTAAGACCTACAATACAACATTTCAGTAGATTTAAGACTTGTTAAGGCCTAAAATTTAGCTTTTGACATTTAAGACATTTTAAAAACCCACGGATACTCTGCCGATTAAATTCACCTTGCTTGGTTTGTCTGTCTGAGGGTCGAACACTCTGTCACACAGTCTCAGTCCGGTCTCCTGGCGGATTTGTTGCAGGTAAGCTCTCATGTTTTCTGTCAAGAGAAAAAAATACAGTATTAAATCAGTCCAGAAATATCCCTTCTGAATAAACCCATCATTTATTGCTCCATACCTTCCTCCTGCTTGCTAGAGGGTTTAGCATACATGGCGTTGAGAGGGAAACCAGGCTCTCCGGGAATGGGGAAGTTGGTAATGCCCAGCGTGTACATCTCCTTCTCTCCTTGGCCCCGTGAACTGCACTGTAAAGCATTCATATTATTAAAGGTTAGATATGTATGAAGCATTACCTATTAGAGTATGAATCTTTCATTACCTTTTGAAGTTTCTTGAGACATTCAGAGATGTAAAGAGTGATGTAGATCAAGGTTCGATCAGCCTCATTCTAAAGCAAGTTAAAAATAATATTTTAATACAAAATCTTTAACATTTAAAGGACAGTTCACACAAAATGTACATTTCCCAGTCATGATTATTCATTACAGTTTACTCCAAACATTTGCATTTCTTCCTTTAGTAAAGCGAACGAGATTTTAATTGACCTCTGTTGTATATTTTGGGTTAGCAACATTATTCAAATTTAATATTCATGTTTAATTTGAGGTGAGCAGGGCTTTACTTCACTGCTTGTATAGGAATGTTTTAGTGAAAGTGAAAGTTTTACTTGCCTGACCAGTAAAGTAGCCGTTTAAAACAGTTAATATTAAGAGCTAATTTCATGTCATGTTAATTACCTAAAACATGTATGTCTGTCAGTGTGTGTTAACAATTAAACACATCATTTTCTCAAGTAGTTACTGTGATGCAAATGACAAAAACTAGTCAAGTAAATTTTGTTTATGGCACATTTTTTTACTCCAAGAATGTATCACATTTCTGTATATATGTATGTATGTATGCATGTATGTATGCATGTATGTATGTATGCATGTATGCATGCATGTATGTATGTATGTATGTATGTATGTGTATGTATAAATATATGACATGACAAAAGTAGATATTACATGACTTTTACACACGACACTTATAGAGATTTAGATTTAGAATACATGGCATTTTTTGACACAAAACTGCTAATTATACTTTTTTTTTTACTTTATTTTGTCACCAATAATTTAAAAAAAAAGTAAACATAAAAGACAGAATTTTTTTACAACAATTGCATGGAATGTAGCTTTTCAAAACTTGCGCATTAAAAGTGTTTAAAAACATAACATATCTGAAGTAGTAACTTTGCAATGTAAATGCATTCATGCACTTGAGCTTTATTATTGTCTGTGTAAACAGATCTAAATGCCAGTGGACAGACGACTGTTTTTGATGCTCAAACTGGTAACAGCCTGACAATGTCTTATTGTGTTAAAATGAAGCACACATTTAATACAGTTAGGAGGAAATGGCCTTTATAAATGAAAACACTGCCTTGGAAATCAAATTAAAGATCAACTAAAATATCTTTTTCATTTCCGTTTAGTGACCAACATAGACATCAAGGCTTAATGCTGAGCCCTTATGAGGATGTGCAACCTATCACAGAGCCATCCCTTTGAATCAAAAATCCAACAAATTCAAAATCTGATATAAACTGAAGTAAATAATATGTGCATACATACAGTTTATAGGTACACAGTTTAAAGGGATAGTTCACCCAAAACGTAAAATAATGCCATCATTTGCTCTCCCTTCACTAGTTCAAAACCTGTTTGACTTACTTTCTTACAAAAGAGGATATAGATAAAAAAAAAAAAAAAAAAAAAAAGTAGGTTCGAAAGACCCACTGACAAAGGTCCACAATTTGCTACATAGGCTTAGGCTTGTTTGTCCTATTTTGACTGCTATGTCATCATAAATAGTAAAAATAACCCATCGAAAAGCTTTAAGATCAAGCAGAACGCTCTGCTGGCCATCACATCGTGTGACTTCAGCTAATCTATTTGGTTAATGCAAACATTTAATGCAGACATTTTATTTTTCATGACTCCAACATCCATCTATGCAAGAAAACATGCAATCTAATGTATGTGAACTCTTATTTTGCTACTGTATTGTTAAATAGAGAAAACATTTTAGTAACTTTTATTCTAAATCTGGGACCTTATTCTTAAAACAAAAATGTAATTACTGTTTAAATTTTTAATTATTTAAAATAATATTAATGTAAAATTTCTAACAAAGTTGAATGTACTGGTCAGTTTGTTATTTGCCTAACAAATGACAACAGACTAGTTTTTAATTTAAAACTTCAACAGATTCCTATTTTTTTGTTCTAATGTAATACATTTGTATTTTAAAGATAAGTAGTCTTTATTCAGTATTTATTTCATTATTGTAAATCTTTAGAAAATATTTTGGTACATCAAAAAGTGTGGTTAGGATGACCACCCAACAATCTAGCTAAAACTAGGGCTTAAAATGTCACTGAATTAAATAGAACGTAAGGCGAATAACATCAAAAAGGTCCACATTTTGTAAAAAAGACCCCCCCCCCCCCTTTCACCAGGCTGGCTACGGGCCTGTTGACTCTTATAGAATTTCTGTCTCCTTTTGAAGTCAATGGTTACATTGTTCTTCAAAATATCTTCTTAAATATGCAAGAAACTCATAAAGGTTTGGAAACACTTGAGGGTGAGTAAATTTTCATTATTGAGAGAACCATGCCTTTAAATTCGAATACAAAGTGAATATTAATTCTTCTCTGAGCACAGAACTATGAATGCAGGTTAAGGCACGCAAGTACATTTTTCAGGCTCCTTCACGCTTCCAGCACGGTCATTTGCTCCTTACCTTTATTTCATAGTTCTTGAAGAAAACATTGGCTTTGAAGTAGTAAATGGCCTCATCAATGATGTCTGTGTCTTTAGCTGGTAATAAAAAACAGGAAGGAAATCTGGTTTGTCAGACACTCTTTACTAATGACCATTTAAGGTAGAGTTAAACACATCTCATATCTCAAAGTAAGTTAACTGTTAGATCCTAAATAGTACAAAAGTAAATCCTGTCTTACTTTCTCTAGCAGCAGGACCCTTAAACTGTGTTTTGAGGGGCAGTAATGCCATATTGCCCACCAGTTTGGTGTCTGCATCCATCAGGGCTGAGTGATAAGCCTAAAAAGAGTGAAAGATGACGTAAAACGCAAGACTAATAATGTTTTTTTTTTCAATATGACTGAGCAAACATTTGTTTTAAAAAGGACTAATATTTACAGAAAAAAATCACAACGTTAATTTAAGTGAGGAAATCCAGTTGTTTGCAACATTACCTGATTCACCAATTCTGTTTTAAACAACGCATTTTCTGACACTTCTATGTTTATATTTGGGATCATTTGATAAATTCAAACATGTAATAAATAAATAAATTCGTAAAACTGTCAAATTTGTGGAAAAACGATGAGAGTATCATGATTTTTACATTAACGTAGCTCTTCGGCTAATAGAGCTAAATATTTTCTAGCTCCCCGCTGCTCTAACGTATAACGTGGCACAACCGCCTATAAAGCAAACAATGGCGCTCGTGGTGTAAATCGTTATGTGTGAATGTTTCTTACCGGCATTTTGGTACAATATGTCCCAAACCTAGCAGGCAGAAATGAATATGTCAGCGCTGCAAGCCGTCGCTTCCGCCTGTCCCACCCTTCACCGATACAGGAAGTTTCCAGTACAATATCTCGCCAAAACCACTGGAGGGCGCCAAAGGTAACGGTTACAGTCTCTCTTTCCCCCAGAGATTATCCAGTAAAATATCCATTGAATATTCAAAAAACGTTCCATGCGCAAAGTATTTTCACCTCACGACAGTCGAAAAGATTACACAGTTTTAGTATTTTAGATTTAAAGGGTTAGTTAAGCTTTTCACTCACCATAGATGATGCTGCTGCAGATGTGACAATAAAAGTGATTTGATTTGATTTAGTTCACACAAAAAATTATATTTACTCGCCCTCAAGTCGTTCCAAACCTTTGAGTTTCTTTCGTTTAACACTAAAGGACATTTTGAAGAAAACTTAAAACTTGTAAACATTGACATCCACAGGAAAAAAAGTGCTCAGTGGTTAGCACTCTTGCCTCAAAGCAAGAAGGGTGCTGGTTCGAGTCCCGGCTGGACCAGTTGGCATTTCTGTGTGGAGTTTGCATGTTCTCCCTGTGTTGGCGTAGATTTCCTCCGGGTGCTCTGGTTCCCCATCACTGTCTAAACACTATAGGTGAATTTAATAAACTAAATTGGATGTAGTGTATGTGTGTGAATGAGTATATGGGTGCTTCCCAGTAGTGGGTTGCAGCTGGAAGGGCTTTCATTGTGTAAAACATATGCTGAATAAGTTTGTGGTTCAATCCGCTGTGGTAACCAATGACGAACAAAGGGTATAAGCCGAAGGAAAATTAATTTTCCTGTGTTCAACACAAGAAATAAACTCAAAGGTTTGAAACAAGTAAAGGGTGAGTAATTGATGACAATGTTCATTTTTGGGTAAACTATCAATTAATAAAAAGTTCACCCAGAATTGAGGTCAGTGTTCCACTGTTCAGGGTTTCCAACATTCTTTAAAATATCTTTTATTTTTGTGTTCAACAGAAGAAAGTAACTCAAATAGGTTTGCAACAAAAGGAGGATGAGTAAATGATGCGTGAACTATTCCTACCTCCTATTAACAAGGTTCAAATCAAATATTCAAGACTGGAAGGTTCAATATAAAAGTTTAACAGCCACTGAATAAATAACCAAGATCAACCACTATTCTGGAAATTTAAGGAACGTCACTATCAATGTCTTCTGTTACCAAAACAAACCATGGCTTTATTTCCTGTAAAAGTTTAGAAACCAAGGTGCTTTTTAATTACTATTTAGTTTTACCCACTGGTTTAATCTTCAAATACTATAGTTTTTACTATATTGTAGCAATACTATAGTATTGAAAAGATCTCTAAAGTTGTTACACTTCAAAGATAAAATGTAACAAGAAGATTTTGAGCAAAATAAAACACATTTGAAATTTCCATATTTTTTATTGCAAAAATAAATATACAGTTCTAAAAATGAACAATATTTGATAAAACTCTGCATAGCACAGGTTATTGTTTCATCCTTCAAACAATGACATCATGACAAAATATAAAGAAACTAAGTGTGAACTGGCTCTTAGCTCAAGAATCTGCTGTGTCTTGGAAGAACGCATCAAAATTGGAATTGCTGGGTTCCTCATCTACTTCCTAGGAAAAAAAGGAAAACACTTAAGCATTTTATATGAGTATTTTGGTTGAGATTTGATTAAACAACTGAATTGTCACATGGATCAGCCTATTGTGATTGGTCTGCTGCTTACAGCTCTGATTTTACCACATCAATTCATGTATTCAAATATCTCTTCAAACCAAACATCCATTCTCAGCATTTGGCAACAACGTTATGCACAAACCTTGGGCTCTTTGACCTCCAGGTCTTCCCCATACTGTATGGAGAAATCAATGTGCTGCAGGACAATGTTGATGCCCTCCTCATCAGTGCGATCGAAGGGCAGGAAGCGAACCATACTGTAGTCATCAATCTGAAGGAAACAGTGCCATTTCAACTATTTATTTTGTGCTTGCAAACCATAAAAATAACTTGAAAGTATGACAATGCTAGGGCTGAAAGATTCATTTGATAAATTTATAATTCAATTCATTCACACCACACAACAATTTCAATTCTGAGTGTCCCTCTTATAGGCGAGTGGGCTTGACAAACCACCCATAGAAAAAAAAAACACTCTTCATCTTTCTGACACTTTAACAGACACTTGCATCAGTTTTGCACATTTGCACCAGACACTGTCTTACAATGACACCACATTTAAAAAACAAACAAACAAAAAAAGAAAACTCCCTTGTAACATTGTTACTTGTATAATTTTCACTTCTGTGTATTGCCTCTTCTTGTTGAATCGCTGAATGTCTCCTCAATTGTAAGTCGCTTTGGACAAAATCATCTGGTATATGACTAAATGTAAATGTTATATGGTTATGTAATCATCAAACAGCATGAAGGCAGTGACTGAATAAAAACAAAATGCTGTTTTTCTTTTAAGCATTTCAACATTTATAATCCTGTAGTGTTGTAATTTGACAGTAATTCTATACTAGTAATAAACTAAGTAACATAATAAAGATAATATTTTAAATATTCAATTATATATTCAATGAGTATAGTCTATAATGTAATTGAACCCACTGTTTGGATACTGACAGTACCCTCATATGATGAGCATATACTGTATTTAGCTTTTTCACTTGTTTACACATAAAAGGTGTACCCGATTTTAGAAATACCACTTTTTTATTATCCATGCTTCAATGTTAAGCAAAATCCTTGCAACTATAACTTACCAAACCACATATGGCCTTGGTTAACTTGCTGAATTTCTTGCTTCTCAAAGCAACAGAATTGTCCTCCATCATTGAGTACATATCTGGGTCCAGATACCTTAAAAAAACACGCACACACACACAGTCATGACATTAACAATTCATCTAAATTTTGGTTAAACGAAAATTATATGAATAGCTTAAAACATACTTTTCTATTTCCTTCTTGGCCTTTGGACTAAGTAGATCCATTTTCGTCATTATGTTGACTTGTGGGATTTCTAGCATCACCATGGCACTCAAAGCAGCCATAACTCCAGAGATAAACTTGAAATTACAACAATTATCAAATTTAGGTTTTCAGAATTTTAGTAGGTTTCTCAAACCACTGTAAAAATCCAAGCCACACTTGATGACAGACTTTCTTACCACTTTACATAAATAGAATACTTAAAGGGATAGTCTACCCAAAAAGTGAATATTTCCTCACCATTTACTGACACTCAAGAGGTTGTAAACTTTTACTAATTCTTCTGTTGGACACAAAACAAGATATTCTGAAGAATGTTGGAAAAATGCAGCCAATAACATCCACAGTGGTTGCTTTTTTCCAATGTTCTTCAGAATATCTTCCTTTGCATTCAACAGAAGAACAAGTGAAGGACGAGTAATGCCGAGTTCAGACTACAAGATTTTTGCCCCGCGGACAGGTTTTGCGAAATCGCAGACAAATCGGTGCTCGTTACAGTAACAGTCACACAGAGTGAAATCAAAGATGAGATTTGAGAGAATCGCAGACGAGTCGCAGACATCAGTGAGATATTTGGCATGCTACATTTTTGGAGCTGTTGGTGATTCAAAATCATGTCAAGTGAAATGTGTTCTGACTGAAAATAACAGTGGCGATTACAGCCAATGAGAAAGCAGCATCCACTAGTATGGGTATCTGAAGGCCAGCAGGAGTTTGGGGAAGTTAAAAGGGCTTCTTTTCAGTCTGGATCCAAGAAATAGAGGGAAAAATTGTGGAAAATTGGCAGAAGCACCCGTGTCTGTTTGACGTGTCATCTGAGCAATACCACAACAGAGTAGAAAATAGCTAATTCCCTACAAAGGCCAGATGAGCAACACAAGTACATATTTTAAAGGCTTCTTTGTCATTATGTAGTTAATAACAAAACATACAACGTGACTTTGCGTTGTTTCCATGTTACTTCTCGCGTGTTTATTTGTGAGATGTAGTTTGCAAACTGAGACAAAGTTGTTGGCGATTCTTCCTATTGTTAAGTCATGCAATGTGAAAACCCGCTGTCGCCGATCCATCTTGCAGTGTAAACAAAGCAGTAACAAAATGCTACCCCAGATAATCATGCAGTGTGAAAACATTTGTGACATGACTACTTTGAAAATCATGCAGTCTGAACTCTGCATAAACGATCACTGAATTTTTCACTTTTGGATGACCCACCTCTTTAAAAGTATTTTTTTTATAGAAAAACAAGACATCAATTGTTATTATTGCTGTGTACCAAGCAGTACCTTAAACGTCTCAACCATAAACTGTGAGTCAACCAGAAAGACGCCACACACACGAAACTCCCATTGCTGCAGTTGCTCCACCAGCTGCTTCATAACAGGCAGATGAGTGTAGAGCTCGATCTGACCTGCAGTCAAGAGAAAGCAATCTGTATCGCACCATCATAATCACCAACAGTATGTACATCAACAGTACATCTGGTTTATCACCACTTACCAGGGCAATCAAACAGTATATAGTCATCCTCCACGTGACCGAGACTCTCCTCCAGCCAGTCAAAGTTGTTGGAGAAGTACTCCATACAGAAGATCAGTCCTCCATTGGGGCCGAATCTCAGCGAGTCATCCTCCATAACGTCATCTACCTGGATCAGTTCTCGGATATCTGTATATGGGGAGATCGTAACAAAATACTGAATGCCTTTAAAAATGTAAAACTTACTGAGAAGGCACAAAGTAGGCTTCATTTTCTGGCTAAAGGGGGATTCTTTAGGGAAAAAAATACATGCTTTAAATGTAATCTGTCTCATTTTGTGTCTAGGTTGTTCTTTTGAAGTTAAAGTCTGCATAAATCAGAAGTTGCAGAGAATTTTATTTCATTTTGTTGATGTACTTTCAATTGAAATGAAATATTGAGTATAGGTGGAGCTTTATTTTTGCGCATTATTCCCTCAAAGGAAACTAGTGGTAGGAGGGACGTGGTCAGGATATTGTAGCTCAAGCTGTCAAACTGAAATGCGGCTGTCAAATGCAGAAGAAAATGAAGACCCACCCCTCTGCAGGTGGGGGCGTGAGGATGTTAAATTTTGTGTGGAAACGAATATCGGGTTAAAATCAGAACCCAACGTCAGGCTGATGTCAATGTTCAAACTCAAATCAACCAAATATCAATCTCTAATCATGTTACACCTTGACGTTGTGTGGACGTTACCACTATGACATCTATCAGACTTTGGATTTTGGTCACTTACCAACACAGCCTAAAATCAGCCAAATATTAACAAGATTTGACATCATTACTGGAAGTCAAAACGTAGGCTGTTTCTCAATATGCGTTCTTCAGCGGTCTTGCGTCCTCGTGTTCTCGTGCAACGTCATCATCAGCTGCCTAAGTTCAGTTCCAATACTCAAGACCGCAAGTACGGAGGACGCGTGAAGCTTCCCGGATGTGAGCTTGATATCGAGGACGCACTGATGCAGACTTGAGCACCAAACACGCTCTGGAAGTCCCAGAAGTCATTGCGACTGGAGGTGGGAAGCGCAGCATTTTATTTAGATTTATTATTAAAGTTCAGAGATTTCACTTATTTACCTCAGGAGTTTCCCTAAATGAAATGGTGAAAGTAAACATTAACATGAACATCTTAATAAAGGAATAAACACATTAAGGGTGTTTATTTACTGAAAATCTTATTAAAATGTGTTTTATTTATATTGTGCAGAGTATATTTATAATGTTTTTATGCAAAGTATATATTTTGAAAAGGGGGACAACAATAAATCGCTGTACGAACGCTTTAATGTTTAAATAATTTCCATTTAAAACTCGTGAAGGTCATGTGACCATCAGGAAGAACGCAGCATCCCATTTCTCAAAGGACGCGTTCTCTGTCCTCGCGGCCTCCTGAGTTCGTTCTTCCGAGGACACTTGGCAAGACCGGTCTCCACAAGAACGCAAGTCTGTTCTCTGCGTTCTTGGAATTGAGAAACAGCCAATGTCTGTAGATGTCAGAGGTGAATTCTGGGGCCTCATGTACGAAGACTTGCGTTGAAATCGTACTAAAACATTGCGTACGCAAAAAGCTGTAAATGTGCGTACGCAGTACAAAATTCAGATGTATGAAACACTGTGTACGCCGAATCACACGCATATTCTCTTTGCACATCCGAATGAACGTGAAACTGAGCGAAACATGCACGAGCGCAAAACCCCTCCCTGCCTCCTCCCCTTATGAATATGCTAATGACTCTACTTTGGCAAAACCAAACGAAGAAGCAATGGCAAAAGCAAGCAAAAGAGAAACTTTGAACAGAATGTGAATAGGAGGTGCTCCTATCGGAGGTAGACTGGAGAAAAGCGGTGTTATTTGCAAGTTTGTCCTCCGGAATCCAGAATAACAAAAGATAAAAAAAGGATGGGAGAGTTGAGCTGACGCGGTAACGCAGCAGAGTCTCGTTGGACACCTTGTTGGAATGAGCTAATAGAGTAATAGTTGAGCAGGGAACATCAGCGAAAAATTCAGAAGCTCTAAATTATTATTATTATGGCCAATTTCTGACTAAGGAATGTGCTGGCCAGTTTGTTATTAGCCTATTAAATTATAATAGGTTACAGTTTTTGATTTGAAACTTTTTAAAATGATATATGATGTAATAAATTGGTATTTTAAAAATAAATATTTGTCAAATTTCTTTATTCGAAATACTTAGGAAATATTTTTGGCACATCAAAAAGTGTGGTTATGATGACCCTCCGACAAGCTAATTCAGCTAAAATTAATGTTTAAAATGTCACTAAATGGAGCATTGAAATCTAATAATGAAATGGAAAATGAGGCAAATAACTGGAAAAAGATCTACTTTTTGGGAAAAAAAACCCACCGCTTTCACCAGGCTGGATACGGGCCTGATAGACAGACTTTAACTGAAGATTACCAATATGATTTTTGCAGTGGATTAACTTTCATGCATTAATTGTTATATTTTAAAAATTATAATGTGCGCTAGTAAAATAAACATGGGAAATGCTGAAACTGAATTTTTATTAAATTTTAAAAATGACAAACTTAGTATTTTAATATTTAATTTATATACTTATTGAAGAAATCTTATAATATGTTTACAGAAAAATAAGTGATCATACTAGATTTTATTTTAAGCAATTATGGTAAAATGTATCAGTCATAATTGCAGAGGAAGCATTATAATGTACACAAAGACTGAAAGGAAAGAAAAAAAAACCTCACTGAAATGGATTGTTGTGATCCTAAAACAGAACTGCACTGTACCCTACTACAATATATAATGGCCAGTTTGTTTATCTATTGACTCCTCACCTGCCATGACAGGATACTCGAAATGCTCTGCGGCTGGATCCAGATTCACCACCTGTACAGATCGGTTGAGGGCCTGGCAATGCTCTAACATTGTGGCACAGTATGTACTCTTGAAAAAAAAAAGACAATGTAAATGTACCATGAAGAAAATAACGACGTGTTACTGTTTGAAACATTTTACTTTATCATGAGCAATGCAGACCACACTAATGTTTAGCATTTAATACTTAAACACGTATATACAGTTGATAACAAACTAAAATTACAATCATAGGAATCTATTAACGTTAGTAGTAATTTAGCTTAACCAGTTGCATAATGTGCTTAATTACCTTTCCACTTCCGGCAGGACCCATCACGAGCTGCGCGTAGCGAGGCATTGTCAGTTCTCCAGCTCCAACTGTACTACAATTATTATTTCGTCTTTAGTTGTTTCACAGAAAAAAAACGTTACTTGCTACCGTAATGTGTACAAAACGCAAGCTCTAGGGCTGCCATGCTGTTTTTCAGTCGCCTACGGAAGCCCTCTGAGGTCAAACACTGGAAACCACGCACGCGCACTTTCGGATGGGATTACAGGTTGTCTAATTTCACTTGTGAATATTCTACAGGTCTCGCAGTTCAGGTAACGCGCCAGGCATGCAAAAGCACGTGAAATTCACCGAAAATATCAGCGACAAAAACCGTCTGTACCACAAAAGATCGTCTTTGCCTTCAAGGTAAGAAATGTAATTTCACTAGGCTATACCAATTACTTTGTGTTGTTTTTAAAAATAATATATTTCTTAAATAAATTACGTGTTTCTTATTATAAAATGTGTTGACAGGCTATCAGGTCTCAATGTGCAAGATGGTAAGTTTTATTATTGCTTAATCATCCATCCATGTAAACTATTTAATTCCAATTATCATTTTAGTTTTTACAAAGTTTTGTATCAGAAGATTTATCAGAAACCTTTTTTTTTTTTACCTTTTTTATTGGGAACATTTCTAAAAATACTCTAAAATTATCAGAATTATAAAGTTATATTTATATAAATAGTAATAATAATGCCCCCTCTTATTTAATAACAAAATACTGTAGCTTATAAACTCACATGCTTTAATAGCATAATTCTAATTACTTTCATGCGTTATTTTGCATGCTGTGCTACACCAAAATTGTTGGTTTTAATGCCCTTTTACACTTGTTCCATACATAGCCCATATGGGCATCTGCATTACCGTGGACAGTCTATGTAAACTCAAAGAACAGCCATTAATCTTTCTAGTAACCCGAGTTTCCCTTAACACGCTTAATCTGTGTGAACGTTACACCTGTATAATTTGGTCAGAGTAACCAGAGTCCCTGACATACAGTAATTGAGCTAGACTGAAGAGTGTAAACACTATCTCGTGTTATTACTATATTAGGTATTGTCATATAAACTGTGACATTCCATTAAAGCATTAGCACTACTTTCATTCTCATTTTTATTCTCTATACGTTGCTTTCGTTATCCAGGCAAAGGAAACCCAGTGTTTGGACATAAAACACAGAGACCTGCAACTGCTCATGTACCAGAACAAGATCAGACTACTAAAACTATTCATATTCAGAAGACGATGACTGCTGCACCGTTTTTACAGGTATTTCATTTAAATAAATGCTTAAATATTATATTTTGCATTGCAATATAAATATCAGATGCAGCAGCTGTAATAAACACAAATTCACGTTCAAATGTCTTGTTTTCAGCATCCAATCTTGACACCCGGACAGAAGCGTTTTCTGTACCGTATGGAAGAGGCCTACAGCACTGAGCACATGCGCCAGCTAATATGTCAACACTACATGAATGTTCTACACCGGTGTATCAAGACAGGTAAACTTTACCTCATAAAATGAGCAAGCTATTTATATAACCTGCATTAGCAAGGAAGTTATAGTGCCAAACTCAGATTGAAGTCAAGATTCCTCCTTCTCTTAAGAACTTGCTATGGTGTTTTACCTATTTTTTTTTGTTTAGCTTATGAGTAAAATAATGTCTGTAGTGAACATCTTGAAATTTCGTCCACAATGTCACTTCCACAGGATAGACTTATATTAAAAACATGACCTTCAAAGCTAATTATGTTAATTAGGTAACTAGGTGTTGTTTTAGGTACAAATGGCGCATAGTGTGTTTAAAACTTAATAATAACAACCCTTTAAAGTTCATACACTACACTGGTTTTTGTCATTTGTTACAGTTGAGCCTAGTGTACGAATATATAGTGTTTAAGTGGATATTTTAAATATATAGTGCATCATTTGGGACACTGGTAATAATTGTTTTGTAATTTCAAAATTGGAGTAATTACAACATGGTGTGAACACAGCTCTAGCAATGCCACCGTAAGGCTAGCTAGCCTGCAACATTAGGCAAATAAAGGCACACTAAAGCAATTGCACTAAAGGAGTTAGCCATTTGTAGAGCCAGACAGAATCTGCAAACAGTTTTTGCTATTTCTGCATAGAATTTTGTAAAAAATTGCGGATTTATGCAGAATAACTTTGGGAGTAGAGTAACAAAAAACTTAATATATTAAATAAAAAATAATAAATTTTTAACTTTTATTAAATGTTTACAATGCAAATCCAATTAGATTCACTTTATTTGGTAAGCAAAGCAACTCTCTCATATATCTAATAAAAGACAGAAAGTATTACTTTACGTTTTGTAAATAAATCAAATGAACATTTTCACATTAGTCAAAATTATTACTGAAATTAATTTAAAAACTCAATTATACGAAATTTACACACACGTAAACAAATAGACTCAATGATGGATCTGTAGACATTTCTGGCTATAGCGGCAAAATTAATTGCAAGTGTCATTCTCAAGTTGTAATATGAGTTTTATGACCAATATATGAATATGATGTTATATGAATAAGAGATCTATGAGTATGTGAATGTTTTTTACTGATTGAATTTCAGAATTATGACATGGAATGAATGCACCTTTAGTCTTCTGGTTATTCCCGTAGCATTCTATTACAGTTAAATATTAAAACATCTATATTATAACTTTAATTTCTTTACTCCATATTTAGTGCCGGAAGTGAATACAAATCTACAAGTGAAAGTGCAGACATCAACATGTGTCCCGGAAATAGAACACATGGAAAACCTTGAAAGTACATCGACAATTAAGACTAAAGGAATTGGAAAAAAATCGAAAGTAAAGAAAACTATTTTACCTAAAATCATCAATCATCAGAGGTAAGAAATTCATTCTCCCAGCTATAATGTGGAAATGCTTAAGCTGTAATTCCTGTAATTCTGAAATTTAACTATTACACAGAAGGTCTTCTGAATTTGTGAAATCAAAGACAGTGCAGTCCAACAAGAGAAGGGCAACCATTCCAAACCACACTACTTTACGAGGTAAGTTTGTCCTTATTGTTCAAAATACACTATTCTTGGTGACACTCTACAGTAAGGTTGTATTAGTTAATGTTATGGGTGCAGTTTGTAAGTTTGACACCAAAACACACGTACGCGCAGGTTGCCAGATTGACGACATCAACATGAGCGAGTCTGACTAGAGCCTAAAGGCTGATTTAAGTCGTGTTCCATATAAAAGTAACGACACGAGATAGAAGAAACATTTTCCATTTTAAAAGGAGTTTTTGTTCTAACCAACACCAGAAAATTATATTTTAGAAACGGCATCTATTTCTTGCAGCTAACAACAGGACAAACCGACAATGATCACCTCAGGTACACCCCTTATGTGGTTTATTCAGTGTTAAATGCTAATAATGCGAGTTTGAAATGGCATTTTACATGACATTTACTGCCATACTTCTGAAAGCAGCAGCAGATTGTTCATCTCAGATCTTGAAAATAAAATAAACCATTTGAAATGGAACCTCGGAACTGTAACTATATCAGTCCAATATCAGTGATTCCTCATGTACATTTAATAATGTTAAAGAGGTTTAATATGCATTAATTAGATTATAAACCTTATCATTTCGATGGAGTGCAGTGAGTGCACTATTCTGTGCTTCTGAATGGCTGTATTTAAATTTCAGTCGTTTTTCGTCTGGTGCAAACAGCCCAATTGCTGATTACAGCATATCTCATCACATAGCGTGTTGTTAGGACATGGGGTTACAATGTAACCGGTTTACCTAATGTTTACGTTTGTAATATTTATAATATGTGCTAATAAATAACCACCTCATGTGGAACCTCGAATCTGCGTCTCATTTCGCAGTCTGCTACTGTCCACCTGAGGAAATGAATGAAATACGCTGCGTTCCACCACGGCAATTCGGGGTGCTGAAATATAATTGGCTACACTGGCATTGGGATGGGTTAAAGTGACCAAAACGAAGACAGACGTCCCGGCACGTAACTCACATTTTCAAAGCAGATTAACTGACTTTAGCATAGTTTTTCAGATAAACAAGAATGTTCACCTTGCATGTTTCTTAAATATCTACAAACATATTATGGTATTTTCATGCTTTAGAAGAGTCAAAAACTTACATACAGCACATTGAATGTGATTACTAAAATAAACAAACAATGATCAATCTATTTATTACAGTATTTATTCATCTTTGTTAATGTTAATTGATAAAAATACAGTTTCTAACGAACAAGAATGAATATTGATTTTAATAATGAATCGGTAACTGTTGAACTACGTTAATAAATGCTGTAGTAGTATTGTTCAATTGTAGTTCATGTTAGTAAATACATGAACTAACCTTAATTAATGAAACCTTATTGTAAAGTGTGACCGGATACTTTAAGATCCTCATATATTTAATACATCAGGTTCCAGCCATATTTGATGTTACTCAAAATGCCCCTAAATTTCCAGGATCACGGACATTGGATGCTGACTTTGAATGGAAGGCAACAGAAATGGATTCTTATCTAGCTTGTCACATGAGTGGCTTGTCTTTCAATGAATTGTCGGACGAAGACGAGGACTTCCTATTATAACAGATATGTGAAAATGAAAAACATACCAAAGATAACACCACTCCAAGTTTCAAGTAAAAAGCTGTTCCAGACATTTCAAAACAGTCATTTTAATAGTGTCAAAAGTGTTTGTTTTTCTTAAATAAAAAAATAAAACAAAGTTACACTGCTCATGTGATGTGGGGTTTTATTTTATGAAAGATGACTCAACATAGGCCTTGAAAAATTAATAGGGCACAAAACATATTTATAAGACTAATTCTCTCTAATATGCGAATAATGCAGCATTATTGCATTTAAACAACCATCTGCTGAAACCACAAGCGATGACATCCTGGTGACATATAAACAGTATTATATATTACATTAAAATATAGCGTAACGTTATGATACAGCATTTGTATGATGGTGACATTCGGGTGAGAGGGAATGACATGATTAGCATCCTGAAAGAAGGCAGCGGACAGTATCTTCGCCCTTTAAGACTTTTTGTATTCGATTCTCTCGACTTTGACGTCGTCTCCAATAAGTTGATAGACATACGTTACCACTGTGGATGCTTGAATGTCCATCAAAACAAATGATGGCGTGATGTTGCTGTGAAGAGAAAAATCACACATCATACATGCAGTGTAAATAATTAAACATGATGTGGAGAGGATAAATCTAAGGCCCTGTTTACACCTGGTATTATAAGTTTAGTTTACCCAAAAACTAAAATTCTGTTATTAATTACTTCAATTTATTCGTACTAATATACTAATTATTCATCTTCAGAACACAAATAAGGATATTTTAAATGAAATCCGAGAGCTCTCTGACCCCCTAGTGACGGTGCCAAGACTTGTAAAGTCCAGAAAAGAAACCAAAAACTTTAGTGGTTTTCCAACATTTGTCACCTTTATCAGGCTTGCATTTCCACTACCAAAAGGGTATGTTTTGGTGTGGTGTACGACAGAAAGTTTCAGGCGTTGTCTAACTTGAGGAAATGTCAATGTAATGCTGTTTTTTAAGTCCTTATTTGGGCTTAAAAACAACACGCAACATATAGCCCACAGTCAGTGCAAACCTCTCACCTGTATCTTTAATCTTCACCAGCACATGTAACCTCTACTTAAAAAGTAATTTGGTCGTCGGCGCCAGTGGTGTAGTGGTTAGTGCGTCGACACATGCACTCCGGTGCTCGCGGCGACCTGGGATCAATTCCGCCTCACGGTCCTATACCAATCCTTCCCCTCTCTGCTCCCCATGCTTTCCTGTCTATTCTCTCTACTGTCCTATCAAAAATAAAAAGGTGAAAAACCCGAAAAAATAATTATACAAAAAAAAAAAAGTAATTCGGTCATTCCGAGTTTGTAATGGTCCAAAAGGTGATGATAATGTTTGAACATGGCAGTTTGTTTATGTTTTAGGTTGCTGAAAGAATCATTTGCTCCTTTGTTTTTCCGGCTTCTCCATTGTTTTGCCCTTCACTCTCACGTTTGTCAGTTTCTGAAAGGATGCCAGAAGCACTTCAATAATCATGTTATAATCAAGTTATTATCATCAGCTCAAGAAGTTTGTTACTTCAAATATAGAAGAGCGGTGAGCGATCGCAAGCTCTCTGAAACTGCTCAAACTGCCACGTAAATCAACAACAGGACATGGAAGATTTTGTTTTTTGGTCTTGTGGTTGTTCATCAAGATGACGACTAGGTTTGTTTAAGCTTGGGTCGACCATAATTTGTTATTATATGTATATATTAGAACGGTGTAATGTCTTAGGTGTGCATTTAAAAATGGTGCTTCCTTTGTATGCTCCTGTTTGTGTATGCCCTAGTGACGTTTCTCTGTAAAAGAAGAAACATCATCCCAAGTAGCCTACTACAGCGAAGGAAGTGAGTGCAAGTAATTAAAACGTTCCAAATACTTTACAAAAATGAAGAAAATGGGCACAATTTACTGTGTGAGAGTTTGCTGGACATTCTTTCACTGACACTGAGGTTACAGCAGAAGCCCCTATTTTACTGCTATGGAGAAAATGAAAGTTGTAAACATTTCTCTCTCTTACTGTGGACCTTTAAACTGCTGGTGGGAAGTAACTTTTCCTCTCTTTTCGGCTGTTATAGCGATACTTGTGGACCCAGACAAGAGCGTGTCTGCAAATCGAGTTTTCTCCACAGCTTTCCCACTCCCATTTATCAGTCACTCGTCGGTAAACAGCACCAGAGCGTTAGAGCCAATCACAGCTCTTTATATTGAGCGAGTGACCAATCATAGAGGTGTAAGAACTCGCTCGACAGCGCTTAAGAAGCAATAATATTTAAGTTTGTTTATTTGCTTTAAATGCTCATGTTATTCTGTGCATGTACTTGAGTTTTGTTTGATGCATTCAAAAAGAGTGTTTTCTTTCAGCAGGCAAAATGAAAGGTACAGTTCATATATCTAACTGCTTGTATAAAAGGACAGAATTGTATTACAAATACATATAAAATGTATTTATAAATAAAACATTTTAATACAAGATTTTTTTGTGTGCTGTGAAGTAAAATATAAAATTGTGTATGGAAAGCATTTTCAATGCACCATAATATTGAATTGAACCAAATCGATGGCATGATAATCAGAACTGAACCATGAGACCAGTGTAGGTCCACACCTCTAAATGTGATGTTTATTTGCTGTGCTTCTAACTCTAATGGCAAATATGTCATACTAAACCTAGTAAATGCACACTGATGTTTTTTTCCACGTTTTTGTGGCACACTAAAAATTTCTTTAAGCTTTGTATATGTTCAGTCGAACCACTAACGTCTCATGGACTGTTTTGACAATGTTTTTGGTTCAATTTATGAACTTTGAATGGCTCTGGACCATTGCTGTCTGTGGAGGATCAGAGAGTGCTTGGATTTCATCTAAGACATCTTAATTTGTGTTGAAAAGATGACTGAAGGTCTCAGGGGATTGAAATTACATGAGGGTGATTAATTAATAACAACATTTTCATTTTTGGGTGAACTAACCCATCAAGATGTGTTTTCATCAACCTGAACATTGGTGGACGCCGCTAAATATGAGTGTAATAAGACCTAAAAGGTTTTGAGCTTGTCCACTTTTGTTAACGTCCAAAGGTAGAGCAAAATGCTTTTGATATGATTGCTTTCCTAGTGTATATGCTCATGTCAATCGCACAGTAATAATACCAGATGCAAGAGGTGCCAAAATGTCATACCTTTCCAGTGCACTATAGGCCCCTGTTGCAGATCCAGGATTTATATAAAATTTATTCTCATTCTCGAAAGCCTCAAATTTGTGTGTGTGGCCAGAAATGAGGATATCAACATCCAGCTGCCTTTGAAGCAGTGCCAAGCTTGCCATGTCTCCCCATGGGATCACTTGGTGTCCGTGGATCAAACCGATTTTAAACTGCCCCACAGTCACAACCTTCTGCTCCGGGTAATTCAAGTTCTGTCATTGCGAAGAATGTAGAGGATTAAAAGAGTGCATCAACAACTTTAATCAAACAAAAAATAGGAACAAAAAGTCAACCTCGTCAAAGTCTCCTCTGACGATGTGGACGTCTCCGGCGAGTGTTTTCAGGTAGTCGTAGCTCTCCTTCGTACAGAGGTTTCCTGTGCATAGGATGTGCTGAATCTTGCCAGGCACCAGCAATTTTTTGAATTTGGCAGGCAGGGTGTTGCATCGGTGGGGAATGTGCAGGTCACCTAACACGAGGACCAGCTAATGGCAAAATACATTTTGTTAGAGTTCATTTGTTAAGAGTTAGTTGCTGGACACATGGACAAAGGACAAATGGAGCTGCAAGCAATGCATTGCTGTCTGAATAAAATCTGATTTTGGAATCAAGAACAGAATGCAATAATTTTGAATGAGAGGGGAATTTTTATCAGACAGCAATCAAATCAAAGCTAAGCAAGAGAGCTGCTTCTGAAACTGTTAGCTCTGCTGAACTTGCTGAAATACTAAAAAAGTCTGAACAAGAATGTTCTGACAAATCAGATCTGTCGTACTCCGCTAAACCCAGCTTAACCTTAAAAACAATATGTTTGGACTAGCATACTAACATCTTAAACTTTAACTGCATTCCTGCTCATAATAGAGTATATGTGGAAGCATGCAGAATATCTTTTAATTTGTCAGTAACCTGGGTCAAACTCTTCCGGTGAACTGTATGCTGTTACAACATCGGCACGTTTAAGGTCTGTTTTCTTTAAAAATCACTGCCTGATTGATAAAGGATTGATAAAGTGGGTCTCAAAATGTACAAGAAACACTGCATTAAATTACATTTTTTTCTGCACCATGCAAACTTACAATTCTGAGAGAAAAAAAGTTTTTACTATTATACTTTTACGTAATATTTTAGTCTTTGACTTGGATCATGTTTCTATAAGTAGCACACAAACTACATACATCCCCTTTATTCAGCATATACTAAACAGTATGCATTACATTAGTAAACAGTTCCAAACAAAACATTTTAAATCTCTACAAGTGATATGTTTAACTCAGTTACCCAAATTTTGCATTAAGACCAAAAACAGGATGCCATTTTCAACAAGGGGTCTCATTTATAAGCACATACGTACATTGAGTATGGACAAAATTGGGGTATGCCACTTCCCAAACGAAAGGTTGACTTCTAATAATAAAACTAACATGACAGGACAATGCCAGCAGTTGTAAGTAAACACTATTTAAACAGTCATAAGCGAGCCATAATCATTAATAAATATATTCTAGCGTACATTCCCTTTGAGGAATTCCTCTACGCAAAGTTTTTTAAATGCGACCCCATGTATAGAGCGGTATCCTGCAAATCTTATTTCTTAAGTTTATAATTAGATGCTTTATGATCAGGGACAAATCATTTTACCTTTATTCTTCATTGCAAAAAAATAAACATAATCCCAAAGCAGTCTAAAGAGAAAGCAAGTCTCAGAGTGAGAGGAATCCTTTTAGATCCAGCAGCCCAGAGAAAAAAGCAGCTCTACTCTATAAATCAGAAAAGCATGAGCACGAGAGGCACTTACTCTGTGACCAGCCTGAATACGGTGCAGAGGTCAGGATGGGGGAACAGTGGGTGAGGAAGGGTGTGAGGGAAGGGATGCATGATCACAACAACAAAAAAACAACATTCAAAAGATGAAAGATGGTGTGATACAGGAGGGAAATGAAACAAAGTGGATAAACAATATCAACAGGAAAACTCAACGTAAATTAGGTTACATGTTAGCTTATTGTGGTTGAATGGGTGGCACTTGGAGTTAGTGTGAAGCTTGGTGTAAAAGCTGCTGAGGCATCCCACAAGAACATAGTATCACTTTATAATCATTTCACTGACAACGAAGCAATGAGAAGATCTATTTAACGTTATATTATATGCGTTGGAACAATATTTTTGTTTCTCTTCATATACAAATAACATGTAGTAAACTGATATCAAAGTGAATAAAAAGTAAGTGCTTACCAGATAATCTAGTTTTATATTTTGCAACACTGACTTTACTTTTATAAACTTGCATTCTTATCATATATAACACGCTGAAATAACAGTTTTATGTTAGCCACTGTAAGCTAGCATTCTGATACTGGACTCTGCGTTCGCTATTAACGCATTATAAGCACCACAACACCAAAATGCATTTTTAATTCATATAGCAAGTCATACGCTTTTATTGTCATTGATTTCAGTCGGTTAAAAGAGAAATAACTTGATTATTCGACAGTGTTGTGAACGGGTTGAATCACTGAGGCAGCGCTAGCTCGCTGCTGTCATGTGACTCCCTGCCTAAAAAATGCCAGCTTTTTGGGAAAGCGGCACAAACATCTAGTCGACGTGCGGTTTTAAAATGAAGCTAACATGTATTAGTGTAAGGCGATAAAGAAACCCGTTTTGTAAGCATACCATTTTTGTCCAGCTGCGTGTTTGAAACGGACCTCAGGAAGCTGATGTTGATTCGTAAGGCCAGAAACTCGATGTTGCCAGATCCCGCAAGAGAAATAAGTAAACTGGGAAACTGCACAGATTTGCTTATAAAAAAGTGACCTGGCAACACATTTTAGCCGTGAAAACCACCACAGCGCCATCTGGCGAATTTTTGAGAAGAGAGAATTACAGAGGCTACTAAAAGTTTTTTTAATTTATAAAAATTATTTCTGTTCTTAATCTTCAATTTATTATGTTCATATAAGTTTAGGTTTCCTTTTAAGCCAACAATAGGCCTACATCATATTCATATTAGCGCAATCTATATGGGCCATTTTATTGTACTTTTTAAAACAATGTTTGTACTAAATAAAAGGTAAAAAGCACAACAACAATGAACAATTTGAAAATGGTAATGATGTAAAAATGACAGCATCAATGTGGCAACAAATACACTTTAAAAATGTGCCAGTGTTTTTTTAATGCATTTTAACCCCATACAGACCTGAATTATGCTCTAATTAAAAACAAATTACATTTCTGAAAAATATGTTTTCACAGTTCTTGAGGCTCCTATAATGAGACCAAATTATAATAATAAAAATTCAACACCTTTCAAGCATATAGTTAAAGTCAGAATTAATAGCCCCCTATTTATTTTTTCCCCCCAATATTTGTTTAATGGAGAGAAGATTTTTTCAACACATTTCTAAACATAGTAGTTTTAATAACTCATCTCTAATAACTGATAACTCATCTCTAATCTGCTTTGTTTTCAAGAATTTCAAGACCATACCCGCATATGAAATTGTTTCAGCAATGAATTAGTACATCAATATAGTCTTTTTATATAAAAAGTTCAATCAGCATTGCTGGAGATTTCATTTCAGTAACATATTTTGAACCCATTGTCCATCCTAGACAGACATTTGAAAAAATTTTAAGCTTGGCGGTGTTACAAAAGATTTTAAACTTTAAAAAGTATGTGTAATCTTTCCTTTTTAAATAGAATCTATGAAATATCGGCAAACACATAAAAAATCTGTAAAAACATTGTAAATGTGGCTTACGTCTGTGTCTACACGCTGCTCCTCAGTGTATTGTATTTTGTTCAAATTACAACATGGTGAGCCTTACCACCATTTGATTGGATGACAATTGTCCACTCAGATAAAATGCTCAGGGACCCCAAAAAATGGGCTGACGTGGTGTCCATTGTGGACACAGGGTCCAAAGGTGTTAAACGGTAATTTTTTCCTATTTTTAATATGCTGATTTGCTGATTATGAGAAATTATTTATTTTTTAATTGGTCAGTAATTAGAAATATTTTTATCTGAAGGCTGTCAATGTCACCTGAAATTATTGTGGAAACCAGCAACATATTTTACTAGTATATTTTGATAAACAGAAAATACAGAATAACAGCAACTCAAACATTAAAAAACAATTCACTGTCATTCATTCATTTCCCTTCTGCTTAGTCCTTTTATTCATCAGGGGTCACCAAAGCGGAATGAATCACCAACTTAACCAGCATTTGTTTTACACAGTGGATGCCCTTCCAGCTGCAACCCAGTACTGGGAAACACACATACACTCTTACATTCACTATGGCCAACATAGGGAGAACATGCAAACTCCACACAGAAATGGCAACTGAACTAGCCGGGACTCGAACCAGTAACCTTCTTGATGTGAGGCAACAGTGTTAACCACTGAGCCACTATGTCACCCCTAATTCACTGTCAGTGTTATTCTTTGGAACGGTAATATTTCATGGTAAATGGTATTATACCACTACTTATACTAATAATGACACAAGCTTGATAATAATCAGAGATGTTTCTTTGCAGTGTCTCGAAAAGGTTTGTTTTTGCTTGGCAAAAAGAACATAGAGAACATTTAATGTTCTTATTTGGTTATGAGTGCGACATGGTGGCTCAGTGGTTAGCACTGTCGCCTCACAGCAAGAGGTTCGCTGATTCCAGTCTCAGCTGGGTCAGTTGGCATTTCTGTTCGGAGTTTGCATGTTCTCCCTGTGTTTGCTTGGGTACAGGTGAATTGAATAAACTAAATTGGCCATAGTGTATGTGTGTGAATGAGTGTGTATGGGTGTTTCTCAGTTCTGGGTTGCAGCTGGAGGGGCATCCGCTGTGCAAAACATATGCTGGATAAGTTGGCAGTTCATTCCGCTGTGGTGACCCCTGATGAAAAAAGGTACTAAGCTGAAGGAAAATGAATGAATGAAATTGGTTATGAAAAAAATAGGCAAGTGGAACCAAACTGATACCACACGGGAACATCAAGGCCAAGGGAATTATCTGTTTTGGCTTCTTTTAAAAAGCATAATTAAATCTTAATGTTTTAAAAAGTAAAAACAATATACATGATGTTAAATATTAGCTGTGTGCTTTGGTGTTTTGTCCCTAGATGTCAGTGTAACATAAGCCAGTCTAGCTTCACTGAGAATACATTTAAGCCTTTGAGTTGTTGGATTCTGAGTCAAAGCCATTTGTCTAATAGGCTATCTAATGCTCCATTTGTAATCGAATTGTATTTTTATATCGCGCTACATTAGGCACAAAACTGTAAATTCACTTTATTAATGATAGCATGTCTTCTTAATGTGTCACTTTTATTTATCCACACAATACGTTATGCCAGATGTAAGTTACATGGTATCTAAAGTGTAATCATCTGAACAAGAGCCTCGTATAACAATGAGAAACTTTTACGAGGCATTAATTTAACTCCAACACAAACTCCCTGTCCTGAAGCAGTCAATACCCTTCTCAGTTTAGTGGGCACGAAATAACCCTGAATGTCTTTTCCTGATTAAAGAAAAGGGAGATGATCCAGAACATGAAGTCTTTTGGCAAGAGATCCGACCTCACTCAGCCTTGTGCTATTGATTGTCTGGTGATTTATCCTTATGAACATGCAATATCTTAGATTTATATGACATCTAAAACAGTCAAAATGTTAATCTAGTCACTGATGGGTTCATAATGTCTGAACTGAACTCCACCTTTTACTAGCAAAGTGATGCTACCGAATTATTCAAAATATCCAAAGAAAGCCTGACTTCATCAAAACCCTCAACACGTGAGTAAAGAAACTCAAAACTCCTCTAAGGGCATTATTGCATCTATTGCTTGCCAAACCCTTTTAGCCTTAATTCCCCTATGAGCTGAAGAAAGAGATTCATTTGGATCTCTCAGCCTCAAAACACTGACTCATCAACTGCTGTTCAGGCCTGTGCTATGGAAATACAGACCCCTTGAGACCCAAAAACTTTTGGACTTAGCCCATAGGCCACAAATGTGTAAAAGATCAGAACTAAAAAAGTGTGAACTAAGGCTGGCAATAAAACAATAATTAAATATGTATTAACTTTTGTTTACTAAAATTAATAATAATTTGTTTTAAAAATTAAATAAAAGAGGACATTTTATTCATTTTTATGTATGAAGAGTTCAGATGCAAAAATATCTAAATGCCATCTAAACTTTCTTCTAAAATTAGCATTTTTTTCAGGCTCTTGGTTGAGTAAATTCGCTTTTATGTCGATGAATATGGTATTTTCATTATCTGTAAAGTGATATCATTGAACAAACATAGGAGGTTGAGAAAAAATGCTCGTTTTTGAAGGAAATTTCAAATGGCATTTGAGGTTTATGCATCTGAACTCTTCATACAACAGTTTTGTCTGGTTCTCTAATCTAATTGGCTTTTGTAATATCTGTACAACCTCTTCAAACTTGTGTATTACTCTTACATAGAGTGAGGACACATCAATAAACTCACTAAAGTTTGACTAATTGCAACTCTTGGACAGCATAAAATATGCAGTTTATTTATAAGGATAGCACCTATTTAATTCAGAGTCGGCGGCCATTAGCCTGTCTGAGCAGAGCAAATATGGTTGACGTTCCACCATAGGATGGCGACAGATACCGCATAAGTGCTTAAGGGAGGAAAACGCAGTGAAAATTTCAAACAACAACTGATTAAATCATTATAAAAGAGGTAAGAAAGACTCTAAGTCGATCTCTCTCTTTTGTATAGTTCTGTGTTTATAACATATAATCTAGTGTTTGCTTGGCTTTGACTTTTTCAGGGTTAATTAGCCTATTGTGATCACTGCTAACTTACTGTGATATTATATAAATATAAATTATTTAGTACTTATTTTACCCTGTACATTTAATTATTCAAAACCTCTCTGTGTAACCCTGAACATTTTAATCTTCCTAACACGCAAAAACATCACAAAACACTTAAAAAAATTACTCAATAAAATCTTTAAAACAGGACAGCATAGTTTAGTTTTTCTTCTTTTGATTTGAAGCTTTTAGATTTTGCTTGAACCCCCCAAACACTGCAGATGATTGACATGTGACCCGTATTTGCCTCAGAATACATATTTATGAATATTTACTTTTACAAATCAATGTCAACCTCCTCCTGACTTTATTTTTGCAGGGAAAACCAGGCACTTTTATAAATGTAAAACACTTCTGTCTTTCAAACCTGTTTCCCAAACACAAAAAAACTTTCTTTTGTGCTATTTATGTATACATCTAGTGCATTTGTATTAAATAGAAGTGTATGTGTTTTAAAAGTACCCATAACATGTTTGCATACTGTTTGGTGCAGTCTTTGAAAAGTCCCAAAAGCTTAAAGTAACTCATTATATTTTTGCAAATATTATTTTTATGTTGTGTGTAGCTTGTAAATTAAGTTTTTTAAAATGATGATTTTTTTAATCTTCACAAAACTCAACAAATAAAGATACTGTGTCTCTAGGAACCAAATGTGAAATAAAAGTAGATTCGATTTTTTTTCTAATGAGACTTTTATTTTATATTCTATAAAGATCATCATCACCTGATGGTTCAAAATGGTGTCTTCCATGTGCTCTGGTTGATATTTTTAGATAAACATAATGCCAGAGACCAAACAGTTTTGTTTTTGTTCCACTTTAATTTTTTATTTCACTTCATGTAGCACTTTTATCTACTGTTATGATTGATATGATTTGATGTCGAAGAATATTAGAAGCAGTAAACCT